CCCCAAAACCCCAAAACCCCTAAACAAGCTTCAAAGTGAATTAAAACATTACAAAAAAACTTTATTAAAATGAAAGCTAATTAAAACTTCACTCTAACTTCTATTACCTTCGATATAACCTCAAATTATATTCTTCTCTTGATTAATGATCGAGAATTTGCCAGTTCTATGGCTCATTACTTAAGAGAAGCTAAAATTGATGCACTTGCCATAGTTGTGCTGTCATTGTTAAGATCGCCTAGGATGTTCTGTGGCATTCTTGATTGCTAAATTTTGTTTAGATCTCTAGCTGCCTCTTCTGCTAAAAATTCTAAGATCATGTCAGCAACATCTAGTTTAGTCTAAGTCTCTTCATACTCGTAGTCTGTCCATAACATCTCATTCTCTTCTATTTCAGCCGCAAGGACTTGAGCTAATCTCTCTTCTCTCAGCAAATTTAATTTGTCCTCATCTAAAGGTCCTTTGATACCATACTCAAGCAATAACTCAGAGCAAGGAAGCGCCCCTGAGAAAGTTCTGGCCCACTCCATCACCTTTAATCTCACTTGCTTCAATACAGTATCAATCTACTGTCCATTCTTATATGTCAATGTTCTTGTCTGTTGACTCCATGGCATTGGAGGACCTCTCAACCCATAAGGTCTAAAATTATCAAGAGCTTCATTGATGCCGTCGAAAATAACTTTGTTATGAATATTCTCCCATTCACCCATCATACTTCTGTTATTAACTGCATCCTCATCATCACTAAAGTCAACTGCTTAAACACTTTGTTTATTTCTCTCAAGGTCCAGATAGAGATCTACTGGCAACACTGATTGTTGGAAAGCGACAGCATTTTCAAATTCATTGTCCAAAACAGCATTTTGAAGATGTAGCAGGATTTCTAGAGGATCCTTGTTGAGTGGGGTGGATAGATTTTCAACAAATTCATCCTCAGATTCCTTCACTTTCTTGAATACTTAAGCGACATACTGATCGACAATACGCATCGTAGTCTTTATACCTCTCACTCTCTTCTTTTTAGGAGGTTAAGGTGGCAATTCGAGTTTAGTCTAGCTTTCTTGTGGCTGAAGATTCAATGTGCTCTAATCGTCAATAGTAGTTTGCTTTTAACTTTCAAACTCTTCAATTCCTGCATTCTTATGGTCACTATCCACTAATTAGCTTAGTTAAGATTCATTATTAGAAAAGCTATCCTCTTTCGAAGGTGATTTCATGGGTATTATTACTCTCTTTGGGAATAAGTTCATTTTCAGCTGTTCTACTAACAAGCCTAGAATGAAATCTGTAAGTATTTCTGTTTAGACCTCTCTTTACTCTTTTTCTTCAATAATTTACTTTGCCTTTTCCATTGTTATTGGTTGTTCTGGCTCCTTTAAAGCCATAAACGCATCTTTATAGCCTCTGTCACTATCAACACCTCCAAATTTGAACTCATCTTGCTTTGATTTTTTCGACATATCATTATTGTTGTCTTGGAATTTACCTATTTAGAAGGGATGAGGACCTACTTTTTCTTCTTCATCGCTAAAATAGTCCTTCATTTATTAGTTTGGAGATATAGCTGACATTGTAGGGGACTAAAACTGTGGAGGCTCCATCTTAGATAAGCTCTCTCCTTCATCCTCATCAACTGGGTAGCCATCATCATTGTTGCTAGTTGTAACACCCTCCGATTATTCTCTGAGATTTTTATCACTTTGTGCTTAATGTGCGAATGATTTAGAGGTATTGCTTGATTTTTACTCTTGCTCAAACAGATTAGATTTGAATATGTTACTTCGCTCACCTTCGTTGTCATTATTAAATTCAAGTTTGATTTCCTCAGTTCCGATTTGCCTAGAGCTCTGGTCCATCAGACTGCTATCTCTGCCAATTTGACTTTTAATTTTGCTTCTGACACTTTAGTCCTTGCTCTCATCATGAACAAGTTTATTGAGACTCTATTCGCTAAGCTTCTTCGAAGGCTATTGGACTGCAGATGTTTAGGATTAATCTTTGTTAGATAGGATCTTATAATCGAATAGCTTTTTGTTTGGCTTAGAAACTACACTTTCTCTATCGCTTTAATTAATGATACTATTCTGATTAATTTGATTACTGTTGTTGTTAACACTTATGTTTTGCTATTTTTCCTATTGTTTTTAGATCATTTGGTTTGCATTATATATTCTTGGAGTTGCACTGATGCTTGAAGAAGTAATGTGACCAAGTGACATATCTATTTAGGATATTTCATGAGAAACATTAAACTTCACAGAGTCCTTTCTGCCTGATCCTTGTTTAATTTTTGGTACTTGAAATTCGTGTTACAACTTTTAAATGAATTCATCAATATTCTCCTTCATAAAGTTCTTCTTTTGATTTAGCTCATCTTCTTATCTTTCAACCCATTTTTAAAGTTACTGCTTCTTCTTCATACTAGCTGGTGAGAGATATAGTCGATCACTTAGCTTGCTAAGTTCTTGTCTTCCCAAATCTGCTTTTTTCTACATCTCATTCATATAATTCTCATACTAGTTGTAGATGTTACTTGGTAAGACAGCTTTTTATTCACTAGTCATCACTGCTTCTAGTGATTATCTCTTGCTTTCTTTATTAAGAATCTGAGATGAGGGGTCAAACAGGTCTTAGAAAGATCTTCTATCGAATTGCCAAGATATATCTCTTTCATCACTGCTAAGTATCTGAGAATTGCTGTGAATTTGATGGCTATTGTTGTAGAAATTTCCAAGGTTATCTTCATTCTTTGGCCTTTGAGCTGCTAACTTCTTATGTAATTAAGAGTTTGTTTGCAGTGGTCTGTTAAATGACTCATGCATTTCGACACTCTTAAGGAAAGAATCTTAAACTTTAGACTCTTCCAACTTCCTCTGATTTTTTATACTGCTCTCCTCTTTAGATTGATCTTTGAAATTTAATTCATTTGAAAGTCTATTTAAACTAGTCATAGAATCAAATTAGTCATTAAGGTTTCTGCTTATTCTAGGCTCTTACTCGATATCAATCAATTAAACTGCTTCGATTCTTTTAGGCTACTGTAATTATGACTATTTCATTTACTATTGCTATTGAGAGTTCGATTATGATCTCTTATCAGTTGCATTCTTGGAGCTCTTCTCACTTATAGAGTCATTTTTAATTAGACTTTAGTTCTTATTATACTTTAAGTTATCAGAAGATCCTGGTCTGTTTTACTTTTTAAATTTATCTTATTCCTAAGCTATTAAATGCTTAAGATTGGCCTCACTTCTTGATAGTTGAGATGGCTTTGAGTCATAACTACTAGTGACGCTTCTCTCATTTCTATCATTTTTAACTTCTTCGTCAAGTATATTAATGTTGTTATTGAACTACACTTACTGATTAGCTGACTCTGAGAATAGTTACTTTATAGGAGACTTTTATTTCCTTGGCTGATTATCATTGATCTATTGCTATTATTGTTATTAAGACCAGTATTTTTATTATACAAGCCTTAAATCTCTCTCTACCTTAGATTTCTCTCTTTAAAGTTAGATAGTATGCTTTTTAGCGAGGAATCTTCTAAGGTTCTTTTGAATGGTGACTGAAGCTTAATGTCTCATAAAATGAAAAATCTTCTCTTATTGATCTTATTGCTGCTTTTGTTAGAGCATCTCTATTATATTTGCCTTTGTCATAATGTTAGCTGATCTTGGTCTGGCTACTGCATTAGTATTATTTTGTTTTATCTTATTTAAGTTAACCTGGTTATTGACTCCAATCGTATTCATTTAAACAAGTGGTTGCTACTAGGCATTGTTTCTCTTGTAGCCTGCACTGCCTTTTCTTTGCTATGATGACTAGCCAATTTAACTCTTTCTTGTTTTAGATCCAGAATTTTATCTCACATTATCAGCTATGTTACTTGATTTTGAAGGACTCAGTAAGATTACAGGTTATTAAATTTAAACCTATTATTACATCGTCTCAATTTACTATTTTAGAACTGGGTTTTTCTATTTTTTATTTGATCTCTTCTTTTTGTTTGATTTTTATTTAGCTTAGGTGCTACCACCCTCGATACTTCCTGATCTACTTCTAAGTTATCTTTCTGCTTAAGCATTCTATGACGATTAGGGTCTATGGTCATGATAATAAGGATCAACCTTAATCATTTATTGATCATTGAAATTCTCTTGAGATTTAAAGATGCTGATGTCGTCTCTGCTTTGGCCAACACTTGAAATAGGATTTGGGCCTAGCTAGAAGCTCTAGAGGCTGTCTATTGGTCTAATTCCGTGATTATACTTGTTATCATTTGGATTAGACATCTCCATGTTGTGATGAAATAGTTAGTTTCCTTAGTTTCTCTTTGACCCCTTATTTTATATTATTGGAGTCAACTCTTGATGTTATTCACTCATAAACATATGGTTATAGTCATTACCTGGCAAATGGTTTTAATCAAGAAGATGCTTGATGCTACTAGGATGAGAGGACATCATGATGCTCATTTGATTGTTTTAATCCAATGGAGGATAAACCATTATGTTTTACTGTTACTACTGTTAATTAAATGAAAGTTCCTATTAGTTTTGGGATGACTTGTCCCCATCATAATGTGAATTAGACTAAGAACTTTTCTGAGATTGCTTTCTCATCTAAATAGTCTTTAGCATTGCTTTTGTTATCTAAATTTAGTTTTTCTTTGCACCTATTCCCTCCTGTTATTGCTAGAAGAGAGCTTAGTGAAGATTGGCTACTGTTTGAGATTTTAAATTCTTATTAAGACCTAATTTGGTTTTAGCTTCTCCGGAAGTTCTTAGTGTCTTATGAGCTTATTGGGATGGAGGGTTTTATTATTGAAGTAGCTCCATTACATTCAATTGCATGTTATGAAGTTATGCCTCAGACATCATATTGTGAAGTTACTTTTGTTTTCTCTTTTTATCACTTCTGGATTTTGTGCCACTTCTCCCCTCTTTAGAATTTAATTATTGTGAATGCTATTTACCTGGGCTGATGCTAAGTCTTCTATTTTCCTTTTCATCATCTATTCTCTTTTTACTCTTAGATCTTGCTTACATAGCCTTTCTCAAGATGTTTGGATCCTTTACACTATCAAGTGTCTTCTATGATTTTAGGTTCTTCTAAGATTTTCTAATCTTTCTATTAAGACCTAACTAATGAGAACTTTTCAGATTGTCTAAGCCCTTTTCACATTTTTGTCTTAATAGTTGCAAGCCTATTGCTTTAGATTGAATTTGATTGATTTCCTGTTCTTCTTCCATCTTTCTCTTCTTAGATCTCTCTCTTTTTTGTTTCTTGACAAATTCAGCAATTTCTGGTTTCATTTAATCATAGATTTTCTAATTCTATTCACTTAAAGTGACACCTGATGCCATAGAGGCTTTATTGTGGTCATATTTATTACTCTTTAGTGGAGAAGTTTCCGTATGAGGGTTAGGCTATTACTGATGGTAAACTGGATCATATGGGCTTGATTCTATATGAACTGGTGGAACTTTAATTAATAGTTATTATGTTTGATCCCCACCTACTTTAGCACTAAATGGTCTTTATTGACTTTTTGATAGATCAGTTCTTTTTCTTGTTTGGCTATTAGAACTTGAAGTCTTAAGTGGCTGTTTCAGTGTATCTTACATCATTACTCTAATTTCCTACAATTCTTCCCTCTATTTATGATATTACTCTCTGCTTTATTAGCGTTTTATCTTTTGTTATTCCTACTCCTTTTTAACATACTCTTTCTATTATTGGTCAACTACAGGGTTTGTAGGTAGAGGTTTCTTGAGTTTCTTGGCAAGACTTAATTTTTATAGCTATTACTCCATCATTTACTTGATATGCTCCTTGTTATTTAGTTTTCTTTGCTACTACAATTAAAGGTCATTGCTTTATAATAGTTTTTCAACATTTTCCTTATTTTTCCTGAGATTCATTGCTTTTTTCTTTTTTTTGTCTTCTTCCAAAATATGCTGATACAGCTATTTCTGGATCTCCTCATGAATTTTAGGATCAGACTGCATGATTCTTTAGTGAGTTGCCTGATTATTATTCTATATCCTAATAGAAAGTGATGAATCTTGAGAATCAAATTACTGCCCAGACATTATGTGGTGATTTTAGCTGAGACCAAAATTTGGGTTATCATGATGAATTTTCAAGTCAGAAGTATCGAATGAAGACAATGGCTGTCTATTAAAACTGTCCTCCTTGTTTTCTTCGTTTATTATTTAATCTAACTTGATTCTACCAATATTTGGAGATAGCATTTACAAGTTTTAAGTATCCGAAGTGTAAATGTGGCCCACTGGTGATTTTACCTTTGTATTAGATTATTGCTTCAATTTATTTTTTTTCCTAGACATCTAGTTCTTACCTCCAGAGTTAATTATTTTATGATTTGATGTTGGTTATGTGTTAAAATCTATCAAATTTTTTCTTACGGGAGAAAACGTAGCCAATTCTTGGCTATGAGTGTTAAAGTTACTTTTTGAATTACCTAGATTTGATTTTCTTTCTAAACTGCTTGATGGTGCTCTTTTATTACTTGTTGAATTAGATACTGAAGATTAAGATTATCCAGTTAATGGATGAGCTCCTACTGGCTAATTAATATTTCCAGGGAGTTTGGCATACGTTTAATTTCTATTTGGTTTAGGGTTCTTAGGAGGGAGTAAGTTTGTTGAAACATCTCTAATCAAATTAGCCTAAGTAGGTGAAGTAACCATATTTTTGGGACCATTTTATATATTTGCCATAGATGTTGTCTTTTTAAGATTTTTAGTGCTTGCACTATTTGGCCTTTTCATTGTGCTACTTAATGTGTGAGTAGGATTTTTGCTTGGATTAAGTGCTTAATAATTTAGGCCAGCTATACGTTAATCATGAGGATTTTTTGATCGGCTCTAAGAATTAGAGCTTGATTTACCTCTTTTCTTATCACTTCTCCCATGTGAATTAAATCTCCCTTGTCTGGCCTGAGAGTCAGTCGAACCCTTTCTGGTTTTAAAAGCATTATTATTTGTTCCACTACTCTTTCCATCTTTGGAGTGTTCGCTTCTATCTCTTACTTGCAGACCTAGTTGATTACTTAAATACTCAAATCCCTGAGAGTTATATGAGTTCAATAACTCAATATCTAAAAATAATAAGGTTAAGATAAATAAACGGGAATGAAATTTTATTTTAAATTACTGAATGCATCTTATGAGCCTATACTACATACGACATCTAACTCTTTACCTCCTAATCTCCTGCCTATATAGAATTGATGTTAAATAAATTCTGCCTGTTTAATGAGTTGGATTACCTCTAACTGCGGACTCTCCCTAAAGGCTCATTGGATTGCCTGTCGAGATATTAGTATTATTGGTAAACTGCTAATTCAAATAATCTCTCCTATTTTCATTATTCCTGAGAGGGGAATGCACTGAATATTGCGGCTATATATCATATGCCCCACTGATTGTTCCATGCATCTTATCAGCGCTTTACTCATACTCAAATACCTTAGTCTGTGGTACTCGGTAACTAATAGGTTTTTTACCTTTCATTAAAATTACCTAGATATTTATTGTGCGAAATCTTAATCAACAGCGTTTTTAGATGTAGTACCTCCAAAGTTTAACTAAGCACTTGACATTGACTTAGCAGTATTAAGCATTAACTATGGGTTAGTGAGTGGATTTGGTGAAGGCAAACCATTCATTGAGGTAATTAGTTGCCCAGGCCTGATGCCTGACTGCAAAGTTGTTGAAAATTACGGAGGCTACTACTTCTATTTCAGATTACTGCCTATATTCATATTAGATTGTTTATTTTTTCAATTTTAATTTCAAATTTATCGATTTCAAATTTATTCCAGGCATATTTATTCTCTCGGGGTTTTGGGGTTTTGGGGTTTTGGGG